CCCCAAAACCCCAAAACCCCAAAACCCCATTAGAGTTATTGTAAAGGTTATAATCAGAAAAAATTATAGATATAAATCAAATAAAGTATTTTAGTAATGGAAGAAAGAATAGTAACCAGAGAGAATAGAGAAATGAGAGAGTAGCTGATTGCTAAGCTTGGTCAAATGCCTTATGAAATATTACAATCTAAGAGCATATCCTATTAGGATTTTCTCTTTAAACTTATAATTATCGGAGATTCAGCTGTCGGAAAGTCTTGTTTACTACATAGATTGACTACTAATGAATTTATGGAAGATCATGAGGTTACTGTAGGGGTAGAATTCGGGACCTTACTAGTTAAGTTAGAGAGTTAAGTTTTCAAACTTTAAATTTGGGACACTGCTGGATAGGAATCATTCAAGTCAATTACTAAAATCTTCTATAGAGGTGCTCATTGCATATTTTTCGCTTATGACATTACCAGACAAGAAACTTTTAACAATTTAAGACATTGGTATGAAGAGGTAATGGCCTAAAGTGAACCTGATATCATTATGTTCTTGGTTGGAAATTAGAAGGATAGAGAAGCCAACAGAGAAGTATCAAAGGAAAAAGCTGAGTAATTCAGATAAGAAAAGGGCATTCATTTCTTTTTTGAGACATCGGCCAAATCTGGAGAAAATGTTGAAAATATTTTCATAATGGCTGCTAAGATGCTCTACTATAACTTTAAAGACAAAATTACTCAAATGGTAATTTGCATAGTATTTATATAACTATTTAGAGAGAGGAGGCATTGTAAAAGAAGAAAGGCAATTCATAAAGACTTAACAATAAAAAAGATGCAAATGGACCAGCAAATTCAAAATCGAAATGCTGTTGATAGTCTTCAGAGAAAGTCTGACTTCATAAAAGTAATCTTAATAGATGTATATCTCCTAATAAATCCAAATAGATAAAATCATTTGAATCTATTCTCATTTTAGTTTGCTATATTGTTTTATGGGGTTTTGGGGTTTTGGGGTTTTGGGGTTTTGAATT